AAAGTCGCATAAAACAAACTTACACCAAAGCAAAGTATAAAAACTTGGCGTGCCCGGGTCGTATTAAAATATATGGTCCCAGATTTGTATCGTTTATATTTCATGTTATATGAAAATTATTGCATATATAGTTTTAGAAACATTAAAATAATTTTATATATTTATAATATATACACGTCTTAATGTGACCTGGAACGAATTTTTATATATACTTGGCGTCGCGACGCTACCGCGTCGCTTGATAATGGATAGTGCAAAGCTTTTTTACATATTTGCATATCAGTTCGTAATAGCGAGTAAATTTCACAACTCTTGCACCTGTGTGATAAAATATACTTAAATTCTACACAAATATATGTTAAATTTTATAAAATATATTTAAAGTATTCGATTATCAAAGCGAATATTACATGTGACATGAGATTACGAATAAGACATGTGATTAAGATAGACGTAATTAGGTTTGCATTTACATTTGGCATACATATTCAAAAATCTTATATATTTGCATTGCTTATATGAAATAATTTTGGTTAAATATAATATTATCTAATAATCTACAACAAACTCGGTGGCACTATGACAGCAGAAATTCGATGCAAAAATTTTGTAACTAAAATTTTCACTAAATGTTTTTATGTATTTTAAATTCTGCCAATCAATAATAAAAAACATATTTTTTCTGCTGTTACATGACTTTAAATCATGGATGAGTTTGAGCGGAAAGTGAAATTGGTTTGAAAACAATGGTATATGTTGCGCATGCGTATCTTATGGACCGTGACAAGTAAAAAACTCGCAAAATCGATGGACCGAAACTGTGGAGATTCGTTTCTTTTATTTCTCGTCATCTTCATCTGTCACACTATTCCTCTATCTGACCGCGCTCGCGTGCGCAGATCGTTTTTCTTCCAACCGCAAGAAAGTGAAATCTTGCTGTAGCCTATCGTCATAATACGGAACAATTGTTTTTAAAGACTTCTGATGCAACTCCAGTAAAAACATGTTAATCAACACATCATAATCATGACTTCGAAAAAAATGTTTAAATTTTTATACACGCACATTCTAAGATAATAGAAACTTATGTCAAATTAACTATGTTAATCAAATCTATCTCGCATCTTCTTGATATATAGAATTCAAAATTGTTGTTTTGTATGTGGCCGATTATGTAATATATAATATTTTATAAAATAACAAAATCATATATACAACAAAATATTATTTTAAAATAGTTTTGAGAGAGAGAGAATTATTTTGATATCTGTCCCAAATACACATTTAGAAATCATGCTGACTCATTTATTTCGTAATTAACTATTATAAATAAGCCTAAGAAAAAGTAAATGTGCTAAAACTACACTTAAATCATAATCCTAATCATACCTACATCATAAATGTGTTTATATATAATAATCAAATAGTTATTTTTCTGAACACCGTGTAAACAGTCTATTATAAACAAGAAATAAAAAAGATATTTATTAATATTTGTTTTCCTAAGTTTTTAATTACAGGTAACTTTTAAGTAATTAAAAAAGTATTTTTTAAAGATGATTAAAATTTATCACATTTGTCACTGTCAAATTTACGTAATTTTATAAAATTTGATACAAAAATTAATAACAATGAAAATTGTCACTAGATTCGAAAAATCACCTGAAAAGTAACATATGCTACAATGAACGTTCTTATATAGGTTCAAAAGAGAAAATTCAAGTTTTATGAATTAACTTAATCAAATTTACATACTGATTACAAGATTTATGTGTTGCTATAATTTATGCATTAGAAGCCGCAAAATATATCTAAGAATATACTCTTTATTTTTAGATATCTAAAAAAACTCGCATGACATATGATAAATGTTTGGCAAGTCAATTAAAGAATTGATTGACAATTTATCCAGTTGAATATAAAAAATTAATAGCTCTGTAAAAAATAACGTTTTACCGAACCATGCTCTTTTCGCTAATTTTTTATGTACACTGCACCGGAATAACAATTGTTCTACATGATATCAGTTTTAAATGACATGTATTTCTCTCCCTTTAATACTTTTGGAATTTTGTGTCACTTGTATTTCCTGCGCTTTCACAAGTTTTCACTCCTCTCTCTTTGATTGAAAAAACTATACTAATTACTAAATACGTTGCTATAATACGAAAATATTTGTAACGCCATCGTATCTCGACGAGCATTCGATGCGTCATATTTGTGTACATCGTTTATATACATATATATTTGGCAAATATACATGTATGTTGGGGGAACATTGGATCATGTGCTGATTTTCTAATCTGTGCACATCGAATACGTGCTTGTCTATTGTAAATAATAAAAAAAATCTACTATTTCTCTTTTTCTTTTCTCTTCTTCCATGATATCTGATCCGATGTGTAATATTGAAAATTGCATGGAATGCCAGCTCTATCTTTCTATGTCCATGACTTGGTTTATAAGACATACAAGAGACTCTTAATCATAATTGGATTTATTGTATCGGTCCTTATTGATTAATTTATCGCAATGAGATTTATGTCACATACAAAGATGTAATTAATAGTAGAAATAAAAATATTGCTCGTTAAATTTTTCTTAGAATACAATATCTTCTATTGAATACTGGATGTTTGTATATCGGACATTGGGCGTAGTATTTGAATTCCGCAAAGCGCTTGCGGATTCACATCAAATGCCAAGAAATTCTTTGACAGCTCGTGCATCTTCTCTTTCTATGTTTCTCTAACATCACCATTTTTCACGTTTAATTAAACGTTCTAAATTTAATAATATCTATAAAAAAGGTAAAAGATCAATAAAATACGCTTGCTTTATTTGAAGCGTTTGATTATTAGACAGTAATATTACCCGTCATTAATGTCGCTGTTATAATTTGCAGTGAGTTTAACGGAATATTAGTTTGCAATCAGTTCAAGAGATCGCGACGATGCGCTTCCATGCATCTCCGCATATCAGTCCTAGCCAAAGTTTCTACCTATTCGCAGAAACCGTATTCAACATATAGTAGACACTATGCACGAGAATCCTCTGAGAGAGTTAATCGGAACTAAGTTTAAATGTCTTCAAGATGTTTGTACTGACCCACTTGCACGTAGACAAGCTAACCATTGGCATCGGTCGCTGTACTTCATCAACGTGATATGTTCAAATATGCTAGTCGCGACGGGAACAATATCTGACATGGTTAAAATAAACTTGTAGCAAGTGTGACATATGAGATAACGTGAAATTTTTCTTACACACACATACATTGTTGGGCAACATTATTTGCTCTTCTTCATTAAAATAGAAATACATAATATATGGATTAAAATTTGATTAAAATATGAAATAATAATACAAGTAATAAATATGTGATATATATAAAACAAGGAAATAGTATTTCCCCGACTTGTCCATGATGAATGATGATTAATGTCGTTTCATTAAGTCGAATTTCCTTTAAAATCGCTAAGACTGTAAACACAATTTCCCTAAATCGCGAGTCTCGGCACGAAGTAATTATCGTTCGCGATCCTCGCGTTCCACCTTCGTGTGATGTATGTACTTGTCGGTGTACCGGATAACTTTTACATGGAACACACATACTTTGAATGCGGCTTGTTAAAAGTTTCCTGGTTAGACGGAAATGGATTTTGCATTTGGTGGTAGGCGTGCGACTCGTAGGCACGAAACAACTTTACGATGTCGACTACCTCTCAGATACTGCGACGATCAACCGACCATGTGAAGAAGAAATCTAACCGGAACAACGACGAGAAAATATACAGTTAGTGTTAGAAGAAAATTAGATATAGAGAACAATTTATCTTTAGCATAAAAAATAAATATAAGAGAGAAATCACTTAAGCTGCATATTTCTTTTAACTTTTCTGGCTAATAACTAGCTAGCTAAAAAGAAAATTTCAATAAACTAGGAAAAATAACTTATTTTACAGATCATATCGCACATACTAAATTTTATAAATTTTATGCAAGAAAAATAGTTATAAAAAAATAAAAAATGTAAAAATAAAACGTTTCTTAATATAACCGCAACTTCTCCCCACTTATATCAATTAGTTAATTTTTCCTTTTATTTTAATTCGTTAACTATAACATTTATTTAACTGTAAAAAAAACGTTTTATAGAATTTAAGATAAAAAAAATTTAATAATAGAGAATAATAGCTCAATTTTTAAGGTATTTTACGTAAAATGACAACTAAAATAAGCAAGGGAAATCACATAAACTATAGCATAAACAATATGATTCATATAAAGCATATTATAATGCATATTTATTTATCAACATATTTGGGTTAATAAGAAATTAAAGTATACCATAGATATGTACGTAATATAAATTCCGTGCGTGTTTCTATTCTATGCTCTTCGGTAACGAGACGCGCATTACTTACCTATTATGCTACGCGTCAATTTTCCAAATTATTTTTTATTAATTTATTAGATTATATTTAATTAATTTATTTTATTTTATTTATTTATTTAACTTATTTTTTTAATTTTTATTAAATTTATCTTTTCAATCAATTTTTACTAAATTTATCTTTTTACTGATAGATGCGCAGGATGCAAATCTATATATTTCCGCATTATGCGAAATATATTATACCTTAACGGGCATCCAATTGCTTAGAAAATCTATTTATAATGTAATAGAGTTAATTGTATAATTTTTAGCTATTCAAAAATATTCTTATCATATAAAATACTTGTATGCAAAATGTATTTTATACAAAATTTAATACAATATAAAATTTTTCTTTGTTATATTTAAAACTATAATATGAATCTAATAAAATTATGCTATTTATTTTATTTCTTGTAGCAATTATCACATATCGTTATAATTTTTGTATAAAACAGTCCAACAATCTAGCTTTCGCGGCTTACATAATCCGGTTTGACAATAAAACGAAGATGATTACTAACCGACGGCTTTCTTCTTACAATAGACAATCCCGACCTGGCCTCTTATGAAATTCATTTCCGAAGAGTACGGAATTCACTCTGACCGAGTTTACCGCCACTTTAATTCCTTTTTTGCTTGCATCTGCGGAGCACTCATTTTCTCACCAGCTTGCGCGATATGACGAAAATAGATCCGATCGCTGGCATAGTGAGAATACCAATGAAGATCGGATAAAGACAGCCTACCCTTAAATTCGGAAGTGAATCTAAGATCCTATTTGAATACGATTCCTTTAATCCACCTTGGAACCTGATTATAGAGATAATTTCGCCGAGTCGCTTCTAATCAGCTTTCATTTACCACAATTTGATGAGAAAATCGTTAAATCTTTGACACTCGCGCGTCAAGAGATGGAGATGGCAGATTTCCAAATGAAGATCTTTACCTCGAGAAATTTTCGCATAAAGCTTTCTCTGTTCGCTATTATTACACTAATATCGTTAACGTACTGACGTCTATAAAAACGGCATTGGAAAGTTTCGAGAAACTCTTAGAGAAAACACTAATATAAATTATGTATTTTAAAAGACATACATAATTAATCCAACATAAAATATTTGGCTCTCTCTTTTTATTTTTAATCATAGAAACTAAATAATATAATATAATGACTGAATCTTGCATTACCTTTCCTTAAACTTGTTTTACACGCTTATACATTGAACAGTTTCCGTTCGTAACATCGTAAACATCGTATCGCGCGGAAATCATTACCGTGAGCGACTCGATTCTCCGCGAGGTCGATATCGCCCGTTTACGGTAGGGACGCAAGCTGATCGATATTAATCGCATTTCGCTAGTGGTGACGGGTTCCTCTGATTGACGACGACGATTAATGCGGGTCGTCGGGTTATGCCCCAGATAAACCGGCTGGTTGGTCCTTCGTGTGTATGCGCTCACGCTGCAGAGAGCGTACGGGCCGCGTATTTACGTTCGTCAATTTACATGATCGGGGGCGTGAGCGCGCGCGGTTCTCGTTACTTCACGCTCCATCACGCGCGCGTGCAAGCACGCGTATGCAAACCACCTAAGTTGCATATGGTGTCGGCCGGCCCGGCCAGCCGGCGAATGGAATTTCCATCTGGCGTCGTCGTTATCGCGAATCAGCCGCCACTCGCAGTTGCACATTACGCTGGCTTTTCTCGTCACACGGACACTCTCCTCTACGGAAACGGTCGGATGAAGAACAGATGTGAATAATTCATCGAGTTCCGACCGCACTTTCGGTCGTCACGAGGACCAAGCCGCATACCCATTTTTGTTTTTTCTTTTCCTTGTTTTCGCTTCTTTGCTTTTGGAATTCATAGTTCGTTAGTGTCGGGCCAAACAGAACGCAGACGCGATTGGCATGCATTTGCCGTTAATCGTGAATATACAGTGGCTGCTGTCGAGAAGAATTGCGGCGATCAGATTTAGCATCATCGATGGCTCAGCGCAGGGAAATTGACCTTTCTATAACTGGATCAATGTTCGGTCGTCAATACGACTTTAATATCCCTTACCAAACTTATCTTTGCCACAAATGTCGGTTATTTGTCAAATTATTTTAATGGTAGAGTTAACTTACCGATTTTTCAAGTTTATGTAAAAAAAGACACAAAATCAATTTATTATAATGTTACTTACATCATTTTTAAGTTATGTCATTATTTGATAATTTTTAAAAGACACTTAACGGAAATTAATTTTATCATAATAACTATTATTTATCTATAAACTATAAAACTATTGCATTGTAATTTTCTCTTATAAATAAATAAATTTATTTATTAAGAGAAAATCACAATGCAATAATAGTTATTATGATACAATTGATTAATTTCCGTTTAATTGTTTTTTAATCATTATTAAATGATAATATAACTTAAAAATGATATAAATAACATTATAATAATTATTTTATTTTTATTATTAAAACATTATTATTGAGTTTTGTTATTATCAAACATTAATTTTTATTTATAATGGATATCTTATTTTGCGTCTTTTTTTACACAATATATTAATAAGAGATTTTATATACAATATAATATCGTAGTATGGCATAAGCATTTTTTCATAGACATCATTAGTGTCCTGATTACAATAGTAGAACATTTTCATATATATATACGACGATATGCGAGCACGATTACATATCATTAAGCTAAATCATTAAAAATTAATGCCTAGGTGATTAAATCGAGGTAAATTACAATATAATGATTTGTAATTAACGATCGCATTAGAGTCACCAATAAAACGAATGCTATTTCGGTAAAATCTTTATATTGTTCTCTTCTATATAATACCGTAAAAATTATTTATTTGTGATTTATTACAGAAGAATATTATAATAATATTAAAATTTTTTTTTGTGATTATATCTAATGTAAAGTATATATGTATATATTCTAATTTACACTATATATGCCGTCACATCGTTTATGTTAAAATCAGATTTATATTAAATTCAGACTTTTTCATGAAATTTTAATAATAAAGTTAAAATGATATCACATAATTTCAAAAGAGAATGTAATATTAATAGTTATTATAAATAATTTAATTTCATTTACTATTCAGTGCAAACTATTTTAATTGACGTTATACTAACTGACAATGAGTAATATGCTACTTTTCTATATCATTTTAGTTCAGACACATACAAAAATAAAAAGAAGTAAATAAAAATTTTATTTTACGGTCAGTAGGTAATATAAAAACATGAATCCCTTATATAATGCTAAAGTTGCGTGATTTTTTTACAAAAAAAACTGCGCCTACATTAAAGCAAGAAATAAATATCTCGTATTATTAAAGATGATTAAATATTTCATAGACACTAAAGCGATATGCAAAGTATTGCCAATATCGATTCGACGAACGAATCGTCTAGTCGACATGGTCACTGTCCACGAGATACAAAAGTTCGTCAAAGAGCAATTCGTTACACATCGAATTATCTTTCCTGATACACGTGGTTATTAATATGGCGGCGCCGGCGCTATATACGGAACAGCTGATGCAACCAGATACGTCGGCAAAACATTTTCACCTCGCTGAATTGTCAACGACATTGCGCGCCGCGGCTTAATCCGCGTCCAGCTTTTTCCATCCGTTTTGTTTGCCCGGTACGGCAGACGTATCGATTATGTTCGCCATTTCAAAGTGGCTTCGTTTGCCGCAATCGCGGAACCGCGTGTTTTTCCCCCGGCATAGATGACCCGCTATAACTGGCTTTTTTTAATGACAGTTTCGCTGAGTCGATGGCGAGGGTATCGTCACGGGTCTCGTTAGCAAATTCGATGATGGCGCCTACGTTAGTGTCATCGATCCCGAAAGCTCGTTATACTTCTCGATATCGCCGAGTACGAAAAAAAGATGGTCATATCGTGAGGTAAAATATTGCGCGGTTCTCCAACGATGTATTTCATACAGATAACATCGGCTTTCGTTAACGTTTTTTTCAGAGATAGATGGCATATCTAACTTTGATCTTCCAAAGTGAGATGAAATATCACAAAGTTTATCGATACGTGTATCTTATCAAAAAATGCATTTATTACTGTCAGCTTAAAATTATGAGCAATTTAATAAAATCATTATTTAAACTATATTAAGACAGCGCGCTATTACTAGAATATTTTAAAATCGGCATATCGACACAAGGCATTGCAAATAAAATTAAGTAATAAATGCATGAAAATAAAATTTTCAAGAGATATTTTCACAGAAATCCAATTATTAATATATGTGTGTGTATATTAAAAATTATTTTTGGCATTGCAGCTCTTGATAGATTCTGGCTTTTTTTCAGATATTTTTCTAGACATCTCTCTGTCCACAA